GAAGCGGGGCTTGGAAGGGTGGGGGGGGGGAGATGAGGGGAAGGATGTCCTAACATCTCTCGTTGGATTTTCAGGGGCGGTGAAGATTATCAGAGGATATCCCGCCAGGCAGGTGTGGATATGTTGGGGCAGCCAGAGGTCAGTTAGCTGTGGTGGTGGTGTGGGGGCGGCGAGACCTCAGCTGTGGCAGTGTGACTAGATTGATTGATGAAGATTATGCCACCCAAGAGGTGGCACGGGCATGAATAGCCCGTAAAGTGTGGCTAGTGTGTAGAGATATATCAGTTAGGTGTAGTGGTTGGAGGGGCAGCGAGACATCAACCAGATAGTCGGCCCCCTCTCACTAACTCCACGCCATTCCTATCTTAATCATCTGCGAGACTCGTTGAACAGTAAACTAGTTGTAGTTCGAGGATACGTTTACACGCTTGTTAAGCTCGTTTTATGTTGTTTGTTTACTTGAGCAACCTGTGTGTTATTTTTTATCGATAATGAGAGAAAATAAAAGGTGGACTTTTGGTACCTCTTCAGAGTTCATCATAACGCGACATGGAATAATTGTAGGTCACGCAGTGCTTGAGGAACGTCTGCACGAGTGTTCTGCATTATATCATGCGGCACTTGACAAGGGCATGAGACCCTACTAATCAGCAGAGACTAGTACAGTAACCACTAAACTCAACACGAAAACACTCTTGTTAGAAGATGAACGGCCATCGTATCATCATTGTATTACTTCTAACCCAAAGTATTGCCTTGTCACTCACCCCAAACTCTGCAAGTTTGAGTCTTGAAGATGAAGCGATCAGAAAACACTCTATCAACTTGACCTGCGCCAGTCCTCGTGAGGCATGGAATGTCTCCTGGAGCGCCCACTGCAGCACAACAAATTCACCCTCCAACGAGTCCCTGGAGACCGTCATGAAAGCCCCGCTTAATGCATCCTCTGAGGAATCAAACCCTCCAGCGAGGCCCAGAATCCGATTTTGCAACGTTCCCGACGAAGAGGAAGTGGATAGCGTCAACGCGACGGGCAGAAGGGTACGACGCTACTCACTACATGGGAATAAGTGGGAGAAAACCGACCTGACGTGGACGCTACGGACTCCAAGCAGTCGCGTCCAGCAACTGCCTCAGGGGGTCATCAGGCAGCAGATCTACGCTGCAATGAAGGTGTGGGAGCGTGAATCAACCCTCACCTTCACGGAAGTACACAAGGACACACCTGATGTAGATATATATATAGATTTTCTCACAGGTGATCACAATGATGGCTACAAGTTTGATGGTCCTGGAGGCACTCTAGCTCATGCTTTCTATCCGGGAAAAGGAAGAGGCGGAGATATGCATTTCGACGACACCGAGAGCTTTGTCGCCCATCATGAGGTGAAAAAGTTCGAGACAAGCAGCCTGTTGGTGACGGCGGCACATGAACTGGGCCACTCACTGGGTCTCCGACACTCTGACGTCGAGAACGCACTCATGGCGCCCTTTTACCAGGAGTACCCCGCGGATTTCAGGCTTCCTAACGACGACAAGTATGGCATCCAGGCCTTGTATGGGAGGCCACCATCTGAGATTCCAACCACAATATTCAAACCTTTAACGACTACTGAAAAACCTCCGACAACTCCTTATAGGCCTCCAACAACTCCGTATAGGCCTCCGACTACTCCTTATAGGCCTCCGACAACGCCTTATAGACCTCCACACAAACCAATTACTCCCGACAGACCTCCAGTAACACCAACCACTCCCAGAACACCACCAACCACTCCCAGAACACCACCAACCACTCCCAGAACACCACCAACCACTACTCGTAGAACTCCGTACACTGTTCCACCTGTACCCCCCACTATAGCTTACGTCCCTCCAACAACCAAACCCCCAGTAACCCCCACTACCCTACCGCCCGAGAGCCCCAGTACGCCCCCACCACCACCTTGCCCATCTGAGACCCCATCCGAAGAGTTCCCCGACGCCTGTGACACGGACTTCGACGCCGTGACGAGGTACCATGGCGAGTATTTCTTCTTCAAGGGCAAGTTCTACTGGCGCGTGAGTAGCAAGGGACAGCTCCGCAGGAACGAATCTCCAAACGAGATATGGTACAGGTTTTCCGATTTGCCCAGATCACTGAAGCGTATTGATGCTGTTTACGTCACCCGTAAGGATACGTTCGTGTTTTTCAGTGGCCCTACGTATTACGAATTAGGGCCAAGTTTTCGGATGAAGAGCACAGGCAAGCTGGTGGATCTGGGAGTGAATGCTAATCACCTCGACGCAGCGATGGTGTGGGGCCACAACGGCAGGATCTACATGTTCAGCGGCAACCACTACTGGCGAATTGGCTGGGATGGTCATGCCGAGGCCGACTACCCGAGGGACGTGGCAGTGTGGCGAGGCCTCCCAAGCAACTACTCCGCCGCCTTCACCGTTCGCTCCCTAACCTACTTTCTCGCCGGCCGCGTCTTCTGGAGCTTCGACAATCTCCAGATGAGAATATCGGAGCCTCCGTTGTTGATCGCTCCTTACTGGTTCAGCTGCCCGCACTACAACCCGGAGAAGGTCTTCCTCTGCTCCCCTGTCGCTACAAGTGTGGCGGGAGCTCCGCCCTCCTTACATCTTCATGCATGTCTGTGGTTGGCTGTCATCTGCCTGGTATTAATTAAGGCACTTTAAAAATGTTCTTCCCCCCTTACCTACACCCAGCACACACCGACACCTGAAACCACACCCCACACACCTACACTCAATGTGTACACCTGCGCCTCGCCTCCCCTTCCCGAGCCTGAAAGTTAAGCCTTTGTTTTCAGCAATAATGTTAACATTACCATTTTAGACATGTTACCTTTCTTAAAGCTCAAAGACTTTACAAAATCCCTTTCTGCTTGTCTCTCAGCCTTCCTCTGTTCGTAATGAAGCGAAAGCGAACAGCGATGAACCAACTTAAAGAATGGTATCAATAACTCCGTGTAAATAATTTCTCAAGCATAAACAGACTGTCAAGTCTGCGAGTTCCCGCAGTTTTCCTTTTCAAAAATGAATTTAAAATGTGTAATTTCTGTTAATTTTAAGTAATGTTACGAGCGTTTGGGGTCGTAACATTATCGTCTTCATTACCATTACTTCAGGACGTCTACACAGGTCCGCGGTCATCGTCGCACAATTTCTTGAAGATGCATATTCACGTATGACAATTATTCGTGACATCTCAAGTTTTTAAGGGAGACCAAATTAGGGCCTCCCCCCCCCCCTTTCTCGCCACCACTACCACTACCACAACCACAACCACTACCACCACCACCACAACCACTTCAGTCATCTACAGCGCCACACACAATAATTTAGGTAAGCAAATTGTAGTTCTCATTTAGGATACATTAATTGTATTCAATAATTATAACTTTCCAAACTGTACAATGTAAGCGTGTATAAATATGATGAACAGTATACAAGGAGTTTCTTAATACAGTTGGGTTCGTTCTTGACTTACAATCGAATTCCGGGTTCGATTCCCGGGCAGGACAGAAATGATTGAGCACGTTTCCCATCGTCTAGCAGTAAACAGTACCCGGGAGTCAGTCAGTCAAAGGTGGAGCTGCAGCCTAGGGAGTAACAGTAGTCGAACCTTGGGGGAACGGGATCGTCTTGATATAATCTTTGATTGTCAACCACACTACCGTAGACATAATTTCAATCACTTAGACACTAGGAGACTCGAGTCGGCAACGCCACGGTGTGAGAGGGAAGCTCTTCCACCCAGCTATCTGGGAGGTCTATGTACTTAAGAGGGAGACGGGAAAAGTATAAAATTTCGGTGGTTTGCGGCTTCTGAAACATTTCCTATTGGGCCTCCAAGATAGCTCAGTGGATGAGCTTCTGGCTCCCACCGTGGGGGTCGGCGGCTCGAGTCTCTTAGTGCTTAAGTATATGATATATTATGTATATTCTTGGGGACATGAAGTATACGAATAAAGGGGCGGGGGACAGTACAGGGTTGTATGACGGTGAATGTACGGGGGTGGTCGACAGTGTACGGGGGGTGGTCGACAGTGTACGGGGGGTGGTCGACATTGTACGAGGGGTGGTCGACAGTGTACGGGGGGGTGGTCGACATTGTACGAGGGGTGGTCGACAAGATATGAGTGTAAACAACCACTTACATTAATTTGCGCAACAAGATAAAGCTCTCGGCCAGTACCAGGTCCGCGGCCTCTCAGGTCAGGTGGTGAGTGCGACTTCAGCGCTGGTTAAGTGCGTCTTTTGCCCCGTGTCTCTAGGGTGTGTGTGTGTTGCGCTCCGCGTGTCTAAGTGCAGTGTCTAAGCGAGTGTTGACAACCACTTACATAAATCTGAAAAAGCCTTAGACCTTACTCGTTCGAGCTCGTTTCGCGTCTATTATATTTACACTGTGAAAGCTCTCACGTGTTGCTGGGACGCGGTGGTCTGTAAGCTGTGGGCTGAGGTTCCAGCCCTCCCTCCTCACAGCTCGGGGACTAGTCACTCGCCAAACTTCTCAACTTTCTCCAGATTTTTATGTATTTGCTTCGGTGAATATTCCACGCGGGTGAAGATTGCTCAAGCAATGGTTTTACACACGTGGTTTGCATACGTGATTTATCTTGAAAGGTCTTTTGAGGAATATCATCATTTCTTATTTCCCTATCTGGCCTGTTCGTCGCATCTACTAATTTTCGTGGCTTTTCAGTTGTGCTTTTCAAGAAATTTCGCACTGACGAATCCATGTTTTTTGTCTTCCATGTCTCCAGCTCCCCGTTTTATGTTTTGAATGTTTTACTTTGGACCTGTTCCCACCCAATGCTGCTTTCTCAGTGATGACTATGAGAGCCTTGTTGTTGAGATGTGTACGACAGATTATATTGGGATCCTGCAGTGGTTGCAGTGGTTACCTTGCCCCGAGTTGAACACCCCGTATGTGTGTGTGTGTGTGTGTGTGTGTGTGTGTGTGTGTGTGTGTGTGTGTGTGTGTGTGTGTGTGTGTGTGTGTATTCTAGCAGCTATTTTTCAGACCATTTCTGGAGCATGTTCAGATTGTTTGTAATGCATCACACTCTGTGTGCGTGTGTGTGATATCAGTTGAACACCAGACATAACTGATGGCCATTAGCTGTTATCAGTTGTGTGTGTGTACTCACCTACACGTGCATGCAGGGTCGAGCTGGGCTCCTGGCCCCGCCTTCCGGACGTTCTTAGATTAATACAACGATTAATTTCTCACGCTGTATTTACATTTCACAATTTTAATCGAATTAGTCTTAACGACTTTACGTCCAACCCTTTCCACTTTCCGACAGCTCTAACACTGAAAGGTTTTTTCTGTCGTGTATGACCCATTTGCGTCTCTAGTTTCTATCCACGACCCCTCGTTCTGCTGTTCCTAGCTGTGAATACTGCTGCTCCGTCTACCTAGTCAATTTCCCTTAGAATTTGTTATGCTGTTACCATGTCTCTTTCTTATCTCTTCTTCCAGTATGGTAAGGTCCAGTTCTCTCAGTCTTTCCTCATAACTTAAGCCCTTCAGCTCAGGAACGAGTCTCGTTTATATCTTCGTACCTTTACTAGTTTCTCCTTATCCCTTTTCGTGTAAGGGTTCCATGCTGGGGACGCATATTCAAGTGCGGATCTCACCTTCCCTGTATATAGGGCCAAGAAACTCATTTTTTTCCCAGTTTCTGAAGGATACCCGGACTTTGGCCAGTATGCCATATGCGGCTGTTGTTAGTCTGCTAATGTGGGCTTCTGGCGTCAGATTTGGCGTTATGTCCACTCCCAAGTCTTCTTTTCTGATTGAAGAATATGTCCCTTCATCCTATAATGCTGTACTGGTCTTCGCACACTTTGTTCCGGACCTTATATAACTTTGCATTTGATTGGGTTAAATTCTAGCAACCATTTTTCAGACCACTTCTGGAACATGTTTAGATTGTATTGCATTACACTCTGTGTGTGTGTGTGTGTGTGTGTGTGTGTGTAATATTAGTGGAACATCAGACATAACTGATGGCCATTAGCTGTTATCAGTTGCAATCAGTTATCGGTCAGTGTAGCGTCATTGTTCTCCACTTGAACTCTGCATCTTATTCAAGAACTGTTGTGGGCAACTCCATCTTCTTCTTCCATACTCTTATTATTATTTGTTATTGTTCTTTTTCTTCGTCTTTTGTTCTTCTTTGTGTTGCATTTATTCTTATTTTAATTTATTTTTATCTTTCTTTTGCTCTTGAGAAGATGGTGTTGGGGACGACGTTGGCACTGCTGATGGTGACGGAGGTAGTGATGGTGGTAGTGTTAAGAATGGATAGCAATAACTGATGGATGATGATATCATTATGATGATATCCGACGCCGATTTATATATAATTTGCTCTGTAACGAGGCTGAATATCTTTGTTTAATTCTCTCAAGATACCGGGGGGGAATAGGCTTTGTGTATTACCAGAACCTTTAGGGCTTATCCCAAAGAGGACGGCACAAAGTCCTCTACCCTTCGCACCTGCCCTCATCACTCTTCCATATGGAAGTGATGAGCAGTGATGACTGAAGATGGTGAAGACTGATGATATTTTTATCACCATCATATAACCGATGATAAACAGTCATATTCTCGATAGGCCAGTGATGTGACGATCATATTTCAGCTGTGATCCCTCCGAGGACGACAATGATGACGACGACGACGCTGAAGGTGCTGCTAACGGTGATAGTGTTGGGAGCGACTACCTCCAGCACCAGGACCCACGACGCACACCAGCCGCTACGAGATCTCAGGTGAGGAGACTGGGAAGCCTCAACTGACAATGTAATGATGTATATGCCCTAACTAGCCTTTTTTAATCTTTCCGGGCTTAATACTTTCGCTCCTGATAACTTTTTAAGGAGACAGCCGATAACTGTCCAGGTTTGGATGGGTGGATAGATTAATTGATGAATGGATTGATAGATGGGCAAACACAGAGTCATGATGTGTATCTTGTCTGTCTCCTGGAATAATGCAGTCAAAACAGTAAGTCAATGTTGAAAAAAAGATACATGAAATCTTCTCTCATAAATGTGAATTCAACAGGCAGTTCGGCTACCATCACCACCCACGCCTCCACCAGCACCACGACCACCATCACCCACGCCTCCACCAGCACCACGACCACCATCACCCACGCCTCCACCATCACCCACGCCTCCACTACCACCACAAAAACCACACCAGGGTGTCCAGAGATATTCATCAGGTTGGTTACCTCTCTTGTAATTTTAGTTACCAGTAAAAAAAAAAAAACATAGATCTCAACAACGCTGCTTTATCTCACTCTCATCCTCCCTCACATGCATAGGAAAACACAACTAATGTTTCCGCTAAGCGTTGGAAAGTCCACATTTGTCGCGGTAAGTTTCAAACATCTGTCATTTGAACTCTCACCAGAGTTACTCAGATGTTGACTCAGACTCTTGGGTCAGACAGTTGTTATATGGGAAACTAGACTTTTAATACTTAATTAAATCCCTAATACGTTAAATCCATAATACGCGTGTTGCTGTTATGCACATGTGTACAAATAGTGCTATTTTGGCCTATGAAAAATGCAAAATGTACATATATGCAGTTTAAAATGTATGTAAATATGGCATACATATAAATATATGCAATATTTACATATAAAAAGACTTTCATGTATGAACATGCGTGCATATTAGATATGCACAATTTGCACTTAAGTACACAGAAAGAGAGAGAAACATCCCCAGTAGTCATCTCCCTCTCCACCAGACCATCAACATAACCCAGCTCTATGGTCTCTGCTTGAGGTTCACCCGCAGCTTCCTGGCTCTCCTGCGGACCGCACCGGACAAAATGACTCTAGAGGACCTCAGACCGCAACTCCGCTCCATCCTGCGCGACAAGGACTTGCAGGCGTTCTTCACCGAGACGTTAGCCGGCCACCTAGACGCGGTCAGCGGCGCACGAGAAGTCCGCGCAGTCTACAATGTTCTCGACCTCTACAGCGCACTGGAAGAACGCAGACTTAGGTACCTAGATAAGGCGAGTTTTTTTTTGGTTTTGCCTACTCTCGCGTTTAGTGTGTAATCGGGGTAGATTTTGGCTGCGCTTGGCAATAATTAGGCTATTTTGTAATTTATTTTGGCGGTTATAATAATTTCGGGTACCTATTTACTGCTAGGTGGTGATCAGAGGCGTTATGTGATAGGAAACGTTCTCAACCATTTCTGTTTCGGTCAGGATTCCCGACTGATTGATGAGAACGAACACAACCCTTAAACGGATTATAACTGCTTATCAAGATCCCTTTCAGAACAAGAGTTAGCTTCCGCTAACTAGTAACCCTTAGGAAACTAACTCTAGTTTTCTGAACATTAATTTTCTTATGATAGCTGCAACCCTTTTCATGTGACTAGCACTAGACTAACCAAAACTAGTTATGAACGTCTTAGAGCCAGCTTTTGTAGAATTAGTATCAACCTCTCAGAATTAACTCGACTTATAACTAATTCCCATGCTATGATTGGCACCAGCTCTCTCAGAACTAGCTCTAACCTTTTCACAAATATCTCTATCGCTTTCATAACTAGTAACATTAGCCATCATAACTAGCACTGTCTTATAAAAAAAAACTAGCCTCAGCTCTCAAATATCCATCTCTGAACCCTCATCAGGCCCTATATTAGGCTAGTACCAGCCTTAGGTACCAGCATAGGTACATGCTAGTACTAGCATGTACCTATGCCATACTACTTTACCATTGCCATACTACTTTTTTTTTGCGGGGGATATGTTTGCGTGGGCCCTAAACCTTTGACTGGCCCACTAAGTGTTACTTGCTTTTGTTGTACTTAGGAGTATGAGTATTTATGACTCGTGTGTTCGCTTTAGTATGATTATTCCCCGTGTGTATAACAACTGGTCTATTGAATCTAAGTTGAAATCTTAATGGGTTTGTAACTGTGCACTGTGTTAGATAATGTTCCAGTGGTCTGTCGGGCATTTCTCCACAGTGCTGACATTTCCTCTCATCTACTGGACCCTGTAAGCCTATTTCCCATGCACATGGACATAGAACCTGCTCTGCACAGAACTAGCACCGAAACACTCTCTCAACTAGTATCAATTCTCTCATAACTAGCATCAAGCGTCTTTAAACTATCAGCACACTTGTTTTAGCTCACCGAGACCTCCTGGGGCCAGCAGGTGCGGGCGAGGCTGCAGGCGATGGCGGCGGATGTCCCCCGCGGCGTCGGGCGAGACTACAACCAGCTAGGACACATGGTCCCCGCCTTCCTCAGACACATCGGCAAGATCAGGGAGAAGGCCGCGGAGCTCTTAAGGTGTGTGTGGTTAACACATACGTGTCTACCTATTATATCTGGACTGTATACATTATATAATTATACGTATATATAATGTATGCATGAAGACTGTACACTGCTTGATAGGTCAGCGTTGAAGCCGAACGAAGACAACATGGACCTGGTGGCATTTTACGAGCCGGGGGGACTACCCAAGCTGGACGCCCTCGCCTCCAACCTCTCCCTTCCGTCACCCTTCTTGGTAACATTTGTCCACGTCTGCCACAACTGTTCATGCATCTATCTCAGCAGTGTAAACCCACAGTATATCTTGCCTAAGAGTTAGGTACACAAACGAAATAGGAATGAGCAGGAAGAGACAGTTGAAGAGGAGCCCAACCCACATAATAACCAAGTTTTTTTTTACGATATTTCAATAAACATTAATAAATAAATGAACAAAAAAAGTAAATAATAATAGGCGACAGGAAGAATTACGTAGTAAACTATGAATGAGGTAGACAAGAACTGAATGAGGTAGACAAGAGCTTTATCGGTAGCGGACGACAGAGCTTTTATCGGTAGCGCGAGATTAAGCAAACATATTTTTGGTGTTGTAATGCTTGGAATATAACGACTCAAGCTCCACTTTACACAAAACTTACATTTTTTTTTTGTTTTAACATTTGCATACTTCTCAAAGTTTAGCTGATTTATTATGCCCCAAGACTCATTCTGTGATTATGCCCTATATACATCTTGTGATCCATATTAAACCCCCACAACATAATATAGATCCTGTGATTTATATTGTGCCCCCACATACCCATTCTGCAATTCTTTTCATATCCCCCCCCCCTCCCCTTAACCATCCTGTGAATGATGGTAGAAAAAGTATATAGAACCACATTTTAACCTCAGAAACTGAACCCTCATTTTGAGTAACCTACACAGTCATTTTGCTAAAAAATTATAGTTTTTACATACACATCAACACATTAATAACACACATTAATAAAATGTTGTATACTTTGTAAAAAGTTCTTGATGCTAATTAAGCCCATTTACAATGGTATTGAACTATGCTTCCTCCCTATGTGGGGTACCATACCTATAACCAGTGGAATGACGTATAGTATCTTAGCATTAATGTCTCAAAAAGTCAGAAAGAGTGAACACGTCTCAATATAAGGCATGTGGGGGAACAGCACCTTTATGACGGCAAAATAGTGTCGAACCCCCTTGCATGGTAGCCTCAGATCACTCAATTTGCTGTGTATCTTTTGTAACGATGTTAAGTCGCAGAGATACAGTTGTTGTTGTTGTTCAAGATTCGCTACCTGGAATACAAATTTCCAAGTAGCACGGGCTATGGTGAACCCGTAATTGATGTGAAGGGCTTCCACTCAGATCACCAGCCATACGAACATTAATAATAATGCACATCACAATGGTCTTCCAGAGCCTGGACGACCGGAGGTACCACCTTCGACCAGCTGACCAGCCCACCTACCTGCTGGGTGTTGAGCCAGTTAACCAGCTGTGGCGTCTGGTCCTTACCAACAACACTTCGCCATTCACTCTGTTCTCGTAGGTTCAAATGAGTAGCTTTAGTACCATTTTGCCTTAAATCGCTCTATCCATGAAAAATACTGGTCATTGTTACATTTATTGTTATCTGTATTAATATATTTAGCTTAGAGATTGAAAACGAAACGCTAGTAATTATTTACAGTTTCATGTTTCTTCTTAATAAAATGTTGTTTGCTTTATAGATTCAAGCCAATTCCAGCAAGATTTGGTGCGGTACGATATGTTCTTACTTGCGATGCATTACCGGAAACACAGCACCTTGGCATTCCCAAAGGCACTACCGACTTCCTCTATTTTGGCTCTGTGGTAAGATTTGTACTACCATACTCGAAACCAATTGAGTAATTATTGCTACCATGGATTGAATATACACAATATTAGCTGTTGCACCCAAAAAAATCTAAACTCTACGCGTATTATTGGCTTTGCAAGAATGTTACGTTCAAACCCCAATGTACGTGCTTTTTCAACTCTTTGTACCTTCTCGTAAATAAATAGAGAGCGTAACAACAATTAAGACAGCCTAATTGTATGCCTAGCCCGTCTTAGGATTAAATTAGTAATCCTAGTCCAATTCTAGGTCCAGTTTAGTACACCAAATTGAGCTTGTTTGTTGCGTTCTTTATCAAGCAAAATAATACGAAACGAACTTTTTGAGGTAAAACAGTCCATAATTTAATTCGTTTTGTAGGAAATATGGAGCCTGTTATATATACTTTAAACGTAGTGCCTACACTATGAACAGAATGCACATAATTAAAACAAAAAATGATTTTTATCAAGCAAACAGATTCTAATATAGCCATTCACATATATCAATATATTATACTAGGTTAGGCTAGGTTTTCGAAAAGACTCCTTGCACTAGCCTCGCGCCAAGAGGCAAACGACGCCGCATTGAGATGTCCAAGAGCGTCAACGGAGATGTTGTTGAGACTGATAAGGATGATTTACAGAGTTGGATCAAAGTTGTCATGTGGGGGGGGGGGGAGGTATACCTTCCTCCTCGCCACAACTCACACACACACACACTGCATCCTCCGGAAATGGTTGTATTTCAACCCGTTCTCGCAAATTCGCAAAGTCAATATTGACTTATTAACTACGTGCAGATATACTAAACATAATAGATACCCTTAAAAAGATTCATAGAAAACACCACCTTACCTAACATCTTAAGATAAGCACACAATTATTACTTAACACCTATTATAGGTTAGGTAATAATTGTAATTACGAACAATAAGATGCTTATCACACTAAGTAGGTTAGGTAAGGTCGGTGTTTTCTATGAAGCCCGACACCATCCTCCTTATTAAATGCGAGAACGGGTTGTTGTATTTTTGTTGTTAATGTAACTCTGTGGTTGATCGTACCAGAATGTAGTAATGGAGGCCCCCCCCCCAGTTTGCTATTTCTTTCATTTTTTTTAAGCCAGAAAAAAAGGCTAAAAATCAAATACTCATAGGCCTAGTATAGGACACACATGTACTATAATAGGCCTCAATTAGCGTGTACTAGGATGGCTAGGTTTTATTATGAATGTAATAACTTTTCCAGTTTGTTCAAATTCAGTACATATTACAATATTACTGTCTTTTGAGCTCCTGATGGCAGGTGACGTCACAGTGCAAGGGTTTTTGTGGGACAAAGTGTACATTATACATTATACAGAGACAAAGGGGGGGAGGAAGACACAGTAAGACCCATATAAGCTAAGTGAAGAATCTAACGCATGCCTTGGCCTCGCTGCAGGAGCGTGGTGGTGGTGGCGGCGGGTCCCTGGCCGTCGTCACGCTGGGCGGGGAGGCGCGCGTCCTGGTCCACCGGACGAGGCACCACGCCGCCTTCCTCACCTGGACACCCCAGGATCACCAGGTCACTCTCACCAGCCCCTACCCGGGTCCACCAGCTCACTGGCTTCTCTCTCACGCACAGTGACTATAACGAAGCCACAGAAAAAGGAACACTGCACGAGGACACGGAACACGACACGGGTTAAAATTATGAAACGCGGCCAATGGATTTCGTTCTTGTATTTACCCGTTGGTTACTGTCGTTCGAATTCGTGACGAGGATAAAAAGCCAGTGACTTCTGAAGGGCTTGCTTGGCTTGCATAGGATCTCCGGCAGCGTGTTAAGACCTTCCAGATCCTCCTCGGCTCGCAAAGGATCACCTGATGTTTGTCAAGGGTTCTCCATGACTTAAAATTCTATCCATTTCTTTTGGTGAAATTTCCTTTGTGCATTTCGAACTGTAGTACAGTCAGATGACTTCGATGACTGACCTCGGCCAGCAGCACGTCCCACAAGCTTGCACTCTGGCCAGATCTAAACTCCTTGTGTGTGTTCTTCATTGTGGCTTGGTAAGCTAGGACTTACTGCCTCTTGTGTGTCACGGTAGAGCTGTTGAAGCAGTGGTGGTATGGGTGTATGGTAGATCTCCTGAAGTACTGATATGGGTGTATGGTGTATACACGGCTGGGTGTATTCATCAGTATATATGCTACTAGTATAATCCCCTCTGGGTCGAGGATTAGTATTTTAAACCCTGTGTATAGTCCAAGCATAATGTTTTGTGTATATATAATTTGTCATCTATATTTGTTCCTTTATCATTACCCAAGATAATTGCTAATAATGTAATCAGATAAAATCTCTGCATTTTCAAACAATAACAGCTTCTTTACCAAGTGAAATATTCAAACAAAACATCAATAACATGTATAGAATGATAACATGTATAGAATGATAACATGTATAGAATGATAACATGTATAAAATGTATAAATTTTGCCATTAATGTTGAGTTTTATTAAATCCTTATTTTGTTGTAACTCTATACACATACATCTCGCACCATCCAATAACTTGTTCACGTGTTCAGCATGAATCGTCCAAGAACTAACTGCCTTATAACTCGCGCTAAACATATGCGCAATGAGTTAGCTAAGAGGCAGGGGCCAGATTCACGAAAGCAGTTACGCAAGTACTTATGAACGTGAACATCTTTCCTCAATCTTTGATGGCTTTGGTTACATTTATTAAACAGTTTACAAGCATAAAAACTTCTCATTCAACTGTTGTTATTGTTATAAACATCCTCCTGGTGCTTCGGAGCTCATTAACTGTTTAATAATTGGAAACAAAGCTGCCAAAGATTGAGAAAAGATGTACAGGTTCGTAAGTGCTTGCGTAACTGCTTTCGTGAATCTAGCCCCAGTCTCTGAATGACGTATGCTGAACATGTGAACTATGAATCACACAAGAACTGCCCTATAACCTGTATTTGATGGACGTAAATATTGAAAAGTCAAGAATACACACAGACACCTGCCGCCGGAAAACGAACAGCCACTGTTGATATTCCTCTATAGTTCGATATTAATCAAAGCCAACTTGTGTGTTACAAATGGCGGTGGTGATGTTGTTGGAGGTGGTCAGTGTTCCGCAACTGTGCTGAAGCTTGTGTTGCTGTCGCCAGCATATACACGAACATCAATCAATGCTTGAAGCACACGAGCATCAATCAATGCTTGAAGCACACGAGCATCAATCAATGCTTGAAGCACACGAGCATCAATCAATGCTTGAAGCACACGAGCATCAATCAATGCTTGAAGCACACGAGCATCAATGCTTGAAGCACACGAGCATCAATCAATGCTTGAAGCACACGAGCATCAATCAATGCTTGAAGCACACGAGCATCAATCAATGCTTGAAGCACACGAGCATCAATCAATGCTTGAAGCACACGAGCATCAATCAATGCTTGAAGCACACGAGCATCAATCAATGCTTGAAGCACACGAGCATCAATCAATGCTTGAAGCACACGAGCATCAATCAATGCTTGAAGCACACGAGCATCAATCAATGCTTGAAGCACACGAGCATCAATCAATGCTTGAAGCACACGAGCATCAATCAATGCTTGAAGCACACGAGCATCAATCAATGCTTGAAGCACACGAGCATCAATCAATACTTGAAGCACACGAGCATCAATCAATACTTGAAGCACACGTTGAACGTGATTACACATAATTGAAGTTGGAAATTCATAATATATAATTATGAGGTCATGTTTGGTGGCGGGGTCAAAGGTCGCCGAAGTAGACTGAAATCGGAAATGGTTGAAATACCAGAAACTTTATCCTCAAGAAGCAGATTATATATATTCCGCGAAGCCCGCTCGGCTATCTGGAGATATCTCTATCTCCAATTAATCAAATTCGGAACACCAGAGATATTCTGCAAGCTGGATGTTTTTGGCCTCTGCTTAACAGATAACGCCTCGGGCTCCTGGAGTAGCATGTGTCACCTCACGCCGGCGCGCACGAGATAACCGCTCGCTATCACCGTCTCTCAGAATGAGGAATTCAGGCTGACGTGCCCACCCTTAACATTTTAACTTAGTACCCGTGTACCAAAGAAATATTTCCACCTTTCTCATCTTGAGTTACTGCCCAGCTCCTGTGCCAGCTACGTTCACTACGGGTTCACCATAACCCTTGCTATCTTTGTTATCTTGAGGTTATATTGAGATGATTTCGGGGCTTAGCGTCCCCGCGGCCCGGTCTACCATCAGGCCTCCTTTTCGTTACACATCCCCAGGAAGCAGCAGCCCGTAGCAGCTGTCTAACTCCCAGGTACCTATTTACTGCTGGGTAATATGAGCATCAGGGTGAAAGAAACTCTGCCGATTTGTTTCCGCCTCCACCGGGGATCGAACCCGGAACCTCAGGACTACGAATCTGAAGCGCTGTCCACGCAGCTGTCAGACCAGATGCAACTTGCCACTTTTGAACCTTTCTTATCTCGTTCTGTCCCCCGCTCTATGTATCTGGGTATCTTGTATACTGGGATCATGCCTCGCTCTCTTCTCAGATATCTTTTGGTAACAGTCTCGCCACAATTATATGGACTAACTTTTTTGTATTGTGCTTTACTAGTTCCATGCCAGTGTTGTGGGTGTTCCAGCCTGCCCTTCCAGTTGTCCGGAATTATCATCACTATTTTGTATACTTTCCATAGTACTCGCTTGATGGTCAAGTCCGTATGAGAAGCGATATTGAAAAATGAGGAGCAAGCGAAAAAACTCCCCTTATGGATGTCAACCAATAAACTCACACTAAACATAGACAACACCTACTACATCTTATTTGGAAGCAATTAAACAAATGCAATTCAGCTTCAGATAATGTAAACATTAGCAATAAAAATGATGGAAAGTTCCTTGGCCGATACCTAGACAAGAGACTCAACTTCAGCACCCACATTCAACATAACTTAAAATTTACGTATGTAGGTTAGCTTAGCATTTTAAAAGCACCGAATCACCTTCTGTGGTTGAGTGTTCAATAAACCCTTGAACTGTATGTTTAACACTTCTCTAACCCTGTCCATGGAGGACAGAAGAAAATGTATATATGCTGGTTAGCATTGTAAATGTGTGGCCACGTCTGTGGTAGAAAATAATAAAAAATAAAAAAAAAAAAAAAAAAATAAAAATAATAAAACATAACTTAAAAAATGTTTCTGAAACAGTTGGTATACTCTCTAAGATCAGATATTATGTATCCTACTCTGCTCTCCTCTCACTCTATTATGCACTTATCTATCCCTATCTTATGGTATCTGTGCTTGGGGTTCAACCTCTGCAAACCACCTCAAGCCCATCATCACCCAGCAGAAATCTGCTATCAGAATAATAACAAACTCTACTTTCAGACAACACACAGGTCCCCTGTTTAAATCCCTAAACATGCCAAACATAAATTCACTCCATACATTCTCTTGTGCTAATTACATTTATAAAACCCTTTAAGTGCAAACCCTGTTCTGAAGCTCTTCCTGGACAGATGTAATAGAACACATACTCACCACACCAGACATAAATATCTCTTTGATATCCCCAAGAGTCAAACTAAATCTGTGTAAACACTCTATGTAAATAAAGGGACCTAGTCTATGGAACTCGCTCCCTAATGAACTGAAAAGCTGCCCAACTTTTTATTCAAAAATAAAAATATTTAAAAATTTTGAATTTATTAACAAATTTACTTTTATTTATTCAAAAATAATTAAATAAAATTTAATTTATTTACTTATTAAAAAATAAAACCAAAAAGTACCTAATTTCATCTTTATAGTCTTCTACCTAGAGCTTTACCTTCGCACTATTTCTAGTGCTACCCAGTCCCCCATTCTTTGTACCTAAGCCATACTCTTCACCATTGTTAATCTTAGATATCACCTGTTATCATGGGTGTTGTATTGAGTGCATATTCTACTGCATTACTCCTTGTAATGATCCTCATATTGTGCTTCAGTGATCCAATGTATAACCCTGAGATGTTTTCCTAATTGTACTTAGGATTCCTTGTTTATTATTGTGTATTGTTCTGATCTGCTTTTGTGTCAAAAATTCTTGTATCGTACCTGTAAAAAAATTTTTTGACAATTTTACTGTAATTATCCTACTTAAAATCATCTGTACTTGTAAAGTAAAGCTGTAAAGTACCTGTTAAACACTTTTTTATCAATTTTACTCTTATTTCTCTAAAACTTTCCGTTAGTTTAAGGATTTGCTCTAAGGCTAGTTTAAGGACTTGCCCGAAACGCCATGCGTGCTAGTGGCTTTACAAGATTGTAATTCCAACTTAAATTCTATGTTCTCTCTTAACTCCCAAACTACTTTCTTGTATATATAAATAAATAAATAAATAAATATATAAATATTTGCGACTTGTCAATACAAGTCTTTATCGTTATGATATCGTGACGTATATATTAAAGATGGCGTCAGAGACACGGAATATTGCCTGACTGAGCAATCAGATACACACACCTGATATCACTCATGCCGACTCCCCCCTTCCCCCCCCCCCCCCTACAGCTGTCTCTGACGTATGTTGGGTCACATGACGAGTCAACACTCACTCAACATGACTCATTCCTGTCTAGTTGAGGTACATACTCATCGCTGCTCTAGCGAAGAACAGGAACCACGTCTTCACATGATCTACATATCACGGTAATATTGACCCGAGGGGCCACTAACACTGGCCTCAATGAGGACAGGAAGCCGGTGGCTTGTCCAAAAGGTCACCCCCCCTTCCCCTTGCATTTGCCCTGATGATTTTTGACAAGTTGAATTTAAAAAAAAACTTTGAGTTAAAGCAGAGTTTTGGCATTTACGGCTTGGGCGGGTAGGCGGTTCCATGGGTTTATAAACTTGTGGGGTGAAAAGGCATCAGCTGTTTTCAGTTCTACATTGTGACTATCTTAACTGTTACGGTTATCTTCCCGTGTCTCTTGGGGTCCCCCAAGAACCCGGACTCCGAGACGTAGTACACAGACACACAGGCTAGGCTAGTCCCAGAACTAAGAGGCATGAGCTACGAGGAAAGGCTTCTTTTTTTTCCGTACCACAGACGTGGCCAGACATTTACAATGCTAACCACCATATATATACATTTTCTTCTGTCCTCCATAGACAGGGTGAGAGATTTGTTAAACATATAGTTCAGGGATTTATTGAACAATCAACCACAGAAGGGGATTGTATAGTGCTTTTAAAATGCTAGGCTAAGCTACATACGTAAATACATAGATACACAGATTTACGTATGCCCTACATAAAGTGTTCGATGTGTCTTTTATAGTGTCATTAATGTGCATTTACAAAGGTGAAATGTAATTCTGATCAGCTTACACATATATGCTGCGTGAGATGCACCTCATGACACTGGAAGAGACAAGATCACCACCTACAAAATTCTCAGAAATTGACAGGGTAGATAAGGATAAACTTTTTAACTCGAGTGGTACGCGAACAAGGGGACACAGGTGGAGACCGAGTACCCCAATGAGCCACAGTGACGTTAGAAAGAACCTTTTCAGTGTCAGAGTAGTTAACAGATGGAATGCACTAGGCAGTGATGTGGTGGAGGCTGACTCCATACACAGTTTCGAATGTAGATATGATAGAGCCCAGTAGGCTCAGGAACCTGTACACCAGTTGATTGACAGTTGAGAGGCGGGACCAAAGAGCCAGAGATCAACCCCTGCAAGCACTAGGTGAATACACACACAGTTTCCAGCAGTGTGCTGCCTGCTATAATCATACCAAATAGTAATCATACCAAGAGAGAAACTACAAAAACTATTATGAACACTTACAAAATCCTCCCTAAAGGCTCGGGAGTTGGAACCATATACAGCCAATATTCTTCCCTGGACCGTACAAAGTTTGGATGAATTTCATTCATCGAATACTTATAATTAATAAAATATTCGTGGAACGGTTTTCATCAGTTCTTAGCGAACAGAGGAACACGCGTTCGGATTTGTAAACATAGATGACTCACTAGAGTATGGACACAGGTCCCTTTGCACGAAATTCATGTAATGTTTCCCCAAAGTCAACAACATTCCTAGAGGCGGGAGCGTCGAGACAACCCAACCTCACGAACTAAGTCTATACTAAAAGAAAAAAAAATCAATATTACATATATGCATATTATTTGGAATGCAGCTATTGAGTTAAGAGTATCTTGGGAAGGTGTGGGGGGGGGGGGAGATTATATACTGAACAATGGTTAAATGGGAATGGAGCATTCAGAGTTTGGGAACCTCTGAACTAAGACGTCTCCCACTCCCCACCAAGAATAGTGCTACAAACCTGTCCTTTAACAAAGAACGTCATTTTTCGGTCGTATGCATTACCAAGGCCAAAAACAATGTCTAAGTGAGCCGTTGGATTTAGTCATTTATCTCTCTTACTCTCTCTCTCTCTCCCCCTCCCTTCCCTCTACACCACTCTCCTCTCACCTTGCATCACGGCAGAAGATAGACACCTATTGGTACAAACATTAGATAAACACAAACGCAAATTGTCTAATATGACGCAAGGGTTGACGTGGTGTTTGATTGAAGCATAGGGGGCGGGGGGTGGGGGGGAGGTCAGGCCCACAGATGATAAGACCTCACCTCAAATGGCCGGTGGTACCACAAGCGTTCCATCAGCAAGCGGGCCAGTTGCTCCTGGTCAACCCTCCGTCTCACACGCGTCAAGCACCGTCTCCTCTTCTCTACGTGAGTGTTGAACACATGTGTGTCCTGGTACTGGAGGTCCGTGAGTGTGGTATACATGTGTCCACGTCTTTATGAGATCGACCTTATCATGCCTGGTATGTAGTGTTGGTAGCCTCGTGGCCCTCAACCTGCCTTGTTAAGAGTCAACTTAAGTTCTAGGATGATTTTTGTCGCGCGGTGTTGAACTTTCTCCAGAGCAGCCATAACTTCCTGAAGATCAGGTCTCCACGCCTGGATACAATAATCCAAACGAGGCGCACCAGAATACAGCCGAATAATTACCTTCTTTTCACTGAAGTTAGGCTAGTAAACACATGGAATACATTTGGTGGTGATGTAGTGGGGGCAGACTCCGGAAATATGACCAGGCTCGGGCGGAGTGAAGGGCCCCAGTGGTTGAAGCAGTGACGCCGTGGGTGACACCAACTAAAATGTGAACTACTAAGAACTGAATTATCTTTCCCAGGGTCGTGAGGTCATGAGAGCCACCATGAAGACCTTGTTCATCACCCTCACCTGTGTCCTCAGCGTCTCTCTCGCCCTGGTGAGTAATATTGCTGTCTTCCTCCCCCCCATAGTGTTGCTGTCCTGCCCCCAGCCCCCCCTAGTGTTGTGTTGCTGTCCTGCCCTCAGCCCCCCCTTGTGTTGCTGTCCTGCCCTCAGTCCCCCCTAGTGTTGGGGTCCCCCCCCCCCCCCCTAGTGTTGCTGTCCTGCCCAACATCAATGAGCTTGATATTAACAATGGTGTTGAAGGCCGTTGTACTGACGATAGCAGCCCGGACATGATAGGACTCCTTCCCCCCTTGTGTTACAGCAGGTACAAGCTTCTCCCCCTTGTATTACAGCAGGTACAGCCTCTGTTGAGCGCCGGACTGGCGGACCGGCCAGGCGTCTATAGTCTTCTTAGTCGAGGGCTTAACGCAGAGGGAGACTCCACTGTTACCGCAGAGGGAGACTCCACTGTTACCGACACCACCAGTTCTACCGTAACTGGCAGTAGTACCACACCTGAGGGAGATCCTACCACGGGAAGCACCATAGACTTCGGGTCAACAGGTATATATATATATATTTGTATCATGTGTTCCCATGTGTAATACGTATCTCTCGGAAAGCTACGGGTTCTACGGGCTTTTAAGTATCTCTCTAATTTCTTTTTAAGTGGGGGACGAAGGATATAATAACACTCAATTGTTTACACTAAGACTTGGGGTTCGTAGTAATAGTACCGATAGTCCTTACGAGGCTGCTAAGAGCTATAATGCCCAGTTACAATTATGTCCATGTAGTGGATGAAGCTGAAGCCAGCTGCGTGCCAGAGTCTTCAGACAGTCGGGTGACTGGATTTCAGTCTTATTCACACGTTGAGAGTGTGTGTTCCGAGTGCGAGTCAGTTTAGGAGTGATCGCTGATGCAGTGATGTCCTTAGGGAAGTGACAGTCAGCAAGAAGCTGTTGGGGACTGTCGGGGTGTCTTATCTTACAGTTTCCTTGTGTTACAGACTTCTGATTGTCCAGGAAGTGGGCGTGGAGGGGGGACCTTGATAATACAACAGTAACGTGATTGTATAACAGTGCTGGGGGTTTGTGTGGTGATTGTATATGGTTGTTGTATACAGCGAGTGTATGTTGGTGAAGAGTTGTGTACATTTAGTGACTGACAATTGTATGGTGGTCAACATAGTACAATGGTGGTGTTTGATTAGATCACTGTTATCCCGGAGTCGTCACAGTAACGAAACAAGTTTACAAGGCACAGGACAGGTGGGCGGAGTGCGCCCCTCCCCCACAGGCGGGAGGGGCGGCTTAGTAGAAGTACACTCCAAATTGCACTTACATTCTAACACGCTATAACTACCATCTTTTATTTTCAGACTTTTCCACCGAGGAGCCCGTCTCCACCACCACCACCACCACTACCACTACAGCGAGCCCGAAACGTAAGTTCCCGATTATCTCTGCTTCTGTAAAGTTATGTAACACAAATCCCCCGTCCTAGAAATCATTAACACCCTCACAACTTCCCATAAAAAGACTCTTTTGAACAAATCCACAAGGACCGTGACGCAGGTTCGAACCTACGTCCTAGAGCATCCCAGACGCTGCCTTAATCGACTGAGCTACGACATGGCAGCGTCTCGGATCATCTCGGACGCAGGTTCGAATACTCGTCACGGCCCTTGTGGATTTGCTCATTTGATGCATCACGCTATTGTGATTTCTGCATATAAAAGACTTTCTTTTTCTCCCCTTATGACAGAGCTGTCCGGGGGTGCCATTGCTGGCATTGTCATAGGCTCCATCGCTGGCGTGGCACTCATCGCGGGCGGGATCTACTTCATGAAAGTCAAGAAAATGCTGTGCTTCGCTTAGAGCTGCCCTGACACAGGCGCCCGAAAACTGCAACACCGCACAGGTCTAGATGTTGGGACCCGTACACTGAACGGGACTGAAATAGGATACGAGTGGGCCAGAATCATTGCCGGAACGAGCTCGAAATTGTCGTAAATCGTGAAAGAGGTATTGTTAAAATTTGGCCTGGCAAAAAATAGGACTAAAACATAAAATTGGACAGGAACAGAGCCAAAAACGGGTAAAAGGAGGAATATGAATCATTGCTATTAACTCAAGAGGTTGAAAATACACTAAGTACAAAGGTTGCAACAGTGACAAACAGGCGACTATAAACAGAAAAAAGCTGTATTAAACAGCATTGTTACAAAACCTGGGCCCGTTGCTAATGCAGCAGCGGTTGAAACCTGCTGATGATCAAAATGGAGACTAGTCCATGAACAGACGAGAGAAAATGCTGTTCCATTTTGTTCCACTTTTGCCATTTTGAACTTCGATGAACTCCAAACGAAAGTATATTTTTATCTTATTTGAAATCTGAAGGAAAGCGTGTGTAAAGCGCTCCGTCGCCTCCAAGACCAGCAAGGGCCGCGACCTCCGCTCACTAGGCTATGATGACGCGTCGGCTGTGTTAGTTTTAACGGAAAATGGTTCTCTCCTAATTTATACATATATATACATACATACATGTTTTATGCATCGTCTGCGAGTGTTAAATAAACTGTCTTTATCTACCCAATCAATTCCTCTGAGACTCTTGTATGTGGTGATCGCGTGTGTGTTTAAATACTGTATAATTATTTATAATTATACAGTATAAAATACTGTACAGTAAAATACTCCGTAATTATTTATAATTATTACCAATAATTAAGGCAGTTTGAAAAAAAATACGTAATCATGTGCCCACTTTTATTTATATGATTATATAATAAAAAATAAAAATAATCTGTTATAATTCGCCCAAGAAGCTTTATAATGGTTTTCCCGATTTTTATTAAGTTTGAGATCAAATACATTAGCCACTATCCACATATACCCATCCTAGTCAAAGGCTCGGGGCGCCCATTTCCCTAGCCTCAGGCACAACATCCGAAAGCCCCCCCAAACATCGGGTTCCAAATACCCTAATTCTCAGTTATAGGCTACCTAGTCGCCAGCCACAGCTCGTTCCCAACCCTACACACCTTGCATGCCTAGCCTCACACACCCTATCCTCCCAGCACCCCTATCCAGAACGAACGTTGCAAAGGTTTGAACGTTGAACGTTTATACTGTGAACGTTGCAATGGTAAACACATGACAAAAAAAAGAGAGGGAGATCTGAACGCACTGACAGAAATTCTTACAAGTTACAAGACGGATGGTATCGACCAGTGAAGATGAACAATATTTAAGAACATGACTACAGAGATGTGGATGATTTACATATCACACAATACCCTCGACATGTCTAAGGAGGAAGCAAAAGAAGTTAAATGGAAGAAACGTAAAAGATATCTAAGCCAGCAATCCTTATCTACCAACAGGCACGGGGGTGACTAGCTCAACATGCACTCATTTCTCACATCACGATTGGCATTTGACAAACCGGAATCTCTACCCCATTTGCCGTCACCTCAGTACACAACCTCAAGGTGTATCGACAAGAAACAAGAGCGCATCAAGTATGAAAAGTTAGGAATTGAGGCATAAAGAGCTAGATCTCACTGATCGTCTCTGATAGGCAAGTACAGACACCCAAGTGCATTAGTCCTAGAACAAAAAGCTTTAACCTCAACTACAAACCCCTAAGCTTAAGCTCCAACGCACATCTCTTATGCCAGGTAAGTACGAAGGGCTCACCATAGCTCGGGCTGCTTGGAACTTTCTGTTCCGAGTAGATGAATCTAAAAACAACAATAATTAAGCGCCAAATACCATTACCCTGAACACCTTAGCCCTCAACACCCTAGTTCTAGACAAGCCCAATTACCTTAGTATTAATGTACATCTCGGCAAGGAGATAACTCCAAGCCAAAGACTGGCTTGACTCGTCAATACATCCCTCGCTGGAAACCTTCGCTAAGAGAGCACAGCAAGCTGGGAATAGTACCAGATGTGGTCGACCTCATCTTCGCCATGATAAGTCCACGTGATCACCACCTGACAGGTAAACACGCTGTGGTTATTGTGACTTACGTATTGTACTGTGTTTTTATGTAGACTTCCCCAATTACATAAATGTACTATTATGAATTAGTCTTTGATAGCAGTGCTAGTCTTTTATCCATCGGCTGGTGTGGTGATCCCGACTCGTACTGGTCTAGGCGTACGACTTTTCTGTTCCAGCATTGCCCAAGTCAACTGTCTAATTCCGTCTTACTCACATTCTGTCTTATAACATCACTGTTATTCTATACTTCTTTTATTTGTGGTGTAAACACACACGAGCCGATTACATGTCATAGAAGGGAATCCGGTGGCTGTATCTGGATAGGCGCTCCAATCTGAGTACAGCCGGCAACAGAGTGCACAGCTTGGGCGTACAGCCGGCAGGAGCTATGCAGGCAGCCGGGACGCCAAGGCCTCGTGCGTCACCGTGGATACTTCACCATGTGTGACATGTGGATTCTCCTGCGATACAGTATCGCGCCAATGTGATAAGGGCTCCCACAGTCGCCTGTAGTATGAACTGACAAGCTTGTCACACACCAGACAAATTATTGCAAGAAAGTTGTTATTTGCACTCCTTATGCATACATCACGATACTTTAATTACACGCAAGTATTAAAATGTAGACATTTTTATTTCACACGGAGGACACAAGTGAAAAAAAGACTTGTTAGGAAGGAGACCACTTAAGCGAGCTAATAAGTCTAACTATACCCATGGCGAGTCACTACAATATAAATTACCTACTCAGTCTGTTGTGTGGTTCGCGAAGACATTTATTGACTCGTTAGATTGTGTATCAGGTGATTCAGTCGTTATCCACGGATCACCAACGACCTCTGTCACATTACAGATTACCCATCCCACAATGTCAATGTTTTTAGTTTATTTATGATGTTTCGGCTGTTTGTGTACACAGAAGCGTAGTCTAGTTGGCGCCCGTAGGTCGCGTACAGGTTTGTAGACAAACAGAATTTGTAGAGAGCCTATTCGAGGCAGTTATTTGGACCTATTCTCACTAATTTGTCGAGGTCTATACTCGATACTTAACCAGTGAATTTGCTTCACTGACAGCCCTTGCCAAGCGGTTTTTTCCATATTTCAAAGCCTATTCCCGAACCTGTTTACACGTGGAAAGGGAGGTTGGGGAGGGGGGGTAGTAGGGTACTCGGTGATACAGTAAGGTTAAGCGAGCTTTGGTGAGGTAGGAAGTAGGTGAGGTAATCCCAAGTGAGGAAGAGTATGACTAGCAAGTATGGGTAGGGAGAGAAGGACGAGGTGAGGTAAAAAGGAAACTTGGATAATTTGATATGGTATTATAGGCAGCGGTGGTAGATATGGCCATTACCATCGCTACTAACATCTTCCCTCAGGAGTATGAACATGTGTTTGTATCTGTGTCTTGGCAATACAAAAAATATAAGAAAAATCTATCTTTTTTATATAGATAACAAAATTGACGGTTGACGCATTCCATTTAGAATTAAGGAAGTCTGTGACTGATTATGCTTACACGAAGTCTTTATCTGAGCCCACAGTCCTCTCGTATTAACAGCACGTCGCATTTTGACTTAATAAATCCTCTAAGGCCAATAACTGGTGTACTAAAAATAGCAGCAGCTCCCAAAACTGACGTGATGTCTCGTTTTCTATTCGTGCGTTCTCGAGTAGGTTAGGTCCGGCCGATTTAGTACATCAGTTTAATGACGTTGGGGACGCTGGAGAGGACGGGCAGCTCTGAGAGCCTGTGGCACCAACAGCAGGCCAATGACAATGTGAACCTTAAACTTGGAGATGGCCTATTGAAAGATGATCACAGGAAAGTGAATAGTGAAGCCGATTATTGTAGTATATATGACTACAGTATATATGACAGGGGAGACATTTCCCGTCACGCAGGGTGCAGTCGCACCTCCACAGATCTCCATTATCAGCTCTTGATACTGATAATGGCTCAAATGGGCCACCACTTTCGGGCTATTCATGCCCGTGCCACCTTTTGGGTGGCTTAATCTTTATCAATCAATCAATCACAAAAGTACACCTTCATTACTCGGTCTGTCCGCCTAAGCTTTCCCCAACGTCAAGAAACTGTCGTACTAAAAGTGCCCTTTATCTTAACCTACCAGAGGACCCAAAACAGAAAAACGGGACAGTAGGTCAATTTCGCGAGACGCTTAAAATTTTCTAGTACGACGATTTTTGGCCTTAGGTAAAGTATGTGTCAAAATTGCGACGCTCAATTAGGAGGACGGGTTGAACACTACTATTAAGTGGCCGTAAGTTAAACACGTGTGGCCAGAGCCGTCTTCCACTGCATATTACGGTGGTAGGAGGACAGGTCACTCTGTACACCAGTTGAGAGGCGGGACCAAAGAGTCAAAGCTCAACCCCCGCAAGCACAATTAGGCGAGTACAATTCTGGTGGGGGTGGGGGGGGGTGGAGGAAAGGCAGCCGTAATCCAGCTTAGACAGCACGATAGGAGAGAACATATAGAGGAGTGGGGGGGGGGGGGGTGTTACCTATCCAGTAAGTACGGGATAAAGCTAAGCAAAGTAAGGACCTTAATGGAGGACGAAGAATGACATGCTTCCGAACAAGTCATTTGCACAAATGGGGGGTAGAAATAGCCTAAGCTACTCTATCCCTTTGAGATGTATTTCTTTCTTATCTCAATAAACATACTTGAACTTGATTTGCACAAGTCTCGGTTGTAGAAAACTTGAAAGCCATGATTGGTGACCGAGGACGACACGGTATCGAGTGCACGTTGGAGCTGGTGCTGGCCGACAGGCCAGTCCTCGCCGCCACGACAAAGATTTGAGACCGCCGACATAATGACTGAGTTAAGACCAGAGGGAAGAACGACCACTCAGGGCGAACAGAAAATAAAACTAAACGAACGGCGAGAGAGGAAGCTTTGAAGAAAGTGGTAGCCTGCCATGAAAGCTAAAAGAATGCACTTGGGATTAATTTTGAATCTCCAGGTGGTTTTTATAAGTTCCTTCTAGTCCGAAAGAACGGCAACAATGGAAGTATTCGCAACAAAGGCAGTGGGCAAATGTAGACGCCGCGGTTCATTGGGGATTTAGTTTGCACCTTTGTCTCTTTCTACCATATATTTCCATCCTATTTATAACTTTCTCATCCACACTGAAATGAGTCAATAATAGGCAGAGGGTGGAGGGCGGTGGGCGATGGGTGGTGGGTTGAGGGCGGTGGCTGGTGGGTGGTGGGCGACGCGGGTACCAGCACCGATAAGAACAGAACAGCTGGTAACATGTAAAGATTACCTGCCGATAACGTTGGTATGATTGATTTTTGTACAAACGAAGAGCTCTGTTGCGAGGTGACCTCCCCTCTACACCTCCCCCCCCCCTCCTCCTACGCACGCACGCACACGCACACTGAGTGCCCAAATGAGCCACAGAGATATTAGAAAGAACTTTTTTAGTGTCAGAGTGGTTGACAAATGGAATGCATTAGGCAGTGATGTGGTGGAGGCTGACTCCATACACAGTTTTCAAGTGTAGATATGATAGAGCCCAGTAGGCTCAGGAACCTGTACACCAGTTGATTGACGGTTGAGAGGCGAGACCAAAGAGCCAGAGCTCAACCCCCGCAAGCACAACTAGGCGAGTACAACTAGGTGAGAACACAACTATCTACCCGAGTCGAGTCTTACATGTCAATATTTGCAGACTGCCAAACTAATGAAAAAGACTTGAGATAGATGAGAATTGCAAGTCTCCAAGAAATGGTTTCTGGATTTCAACACCAGCAAGTGCAACG